TAGATTTTTAGTCACGGGCTGAAGTTAGCTTAAGCGAACTTTACCCGTGACTAAAACGCCATAAAGTCACAGTTTATGTTCTGTTATCACAGCCAAAGATAATATTATCTTTGATCACAGCTCGTCAATCAGGGGCGTGCTCAGACCGGCCCGGGAAATTCAGAAAAATCGGCCCACTACACACGAAAAATTGGGGGTGAACAAAACCAAGTTAAAAAATTTCAAATTAATACTTAATAACATAAAATATAAATTAAATTCTTGACAATATAATTCATTAATATTAGAACCAATAAAATGCCAGTATTCCATAGTGACGTATTTTATCACAGCGGCAATATTTTTTATCATCTTGTTTACACGTTACTATGAATTTTGACGTTTTTTTGATTTGACATTTGTTGTCATTTAAATTCTGTTTTTGATATAAATCAATAAAATAATGAATTATAAACTCTAAAAGATCGATGGGTTGGTGTAAACGATAATGAAATTAAGGTAAGTTTGAATAAATAAGGTTTATTAAAGTCTTTTTATATTTTAAAGCACATTTTAATTTCAAATGTCAAACTAAAAATTCGTTAAATCCTAAAATTCATTATATTTTCTCACTAAATATAACTCGTGGTATGATTAATTATCGATGATATTTACTCATTAAAACCGAAGCAGCACATTTCACTCGTCCTGCGGACTCGTGAAATCTGCAGCTCGGTTTCAATTCGAAAATATCATCGATGATAATCATACCACTTGTTATATTATGGGTGAAAAAAAAACATTCAACAAACACAACCCGACAATATTTTACACAATGCTAAAACATACATACGTATATCATTGCACTTAAAATAAAAACTAATGATGTTACTTGCGCATAACCGCTTTGCAGCGTTAAAAAATTGGTTAGAATGACCGGCCCGGGAAATTCAGAAAAATCGGCCCACTACACACGAAAAATGGGGGTGAACTAAACCAAGTTAAAAAATTTCAAACATTTATTAATACTTAATAACATAAAGTATAAATTAAATTCTTGAAAAAAAAAACATTCAACAAACACAACCAGACAATATTTTACACAATGCTAAAACATACATACAGTAGAAACCACCAATATATGAACGTGACTCATCGGGTGCCGAACATATCTCAGACATGCTAGCAGTAATGTTTTAATGTTGTCTTGTACATTCGATGCAGCGGTAAATGTACTCACACGTGGGTTTTTAAGCATCCGGTCTAAAATGCGCCATCTGTTATGTAAAACTGCCTAGGTGTTCGACAAAGATGTCCTAGCTTGTTACTTATTTTTGTTGGAATTCAGTAGAGTTTTTGTTTTAGGCAATTTATTTTATTTTATTACAACCAACTCTACCGTCGGCCATTTGTTTTTATATGTCATATGATCTTTGTTTTTGCATATCGTTTTTCTGCTGTGTGTTTACGGATTAATAATCGTTTTAAACGTTGTAGTGCTAGTGGTTTTTATTGCAATTGTTATTGCACGTTTATTGGACTTTATTGCAATTGTTATTGTACGTTTTTTGGACTTTAAATAAACGGTGTGTTTACGGATTAATAATCGTTTTAAACGTAGTGGCAGTGGTTTATATTATGTAACACAGGTAGATGTCGTATAAAAATCCTTACCTATAAATTCTAGGCTAGAATAAAAAAATATTTTTATTATATAAATTTTGTACTGGTTGTTTTTATATCCACACAATTTAAATATCTTTCACTTCTTACCTGACCTGCGTAAACATTTTTGTTTTTTGTCACCAATTCTGAAATATTTGCGTTTTATTTATTTATTAATTAGTTTCTAAGAAAATTACATTTTATTTAATTATCGTAGATGTTAATTAATTATTAAAATTTAACTTTAAAAGCAAATATAAGAAGTATAACAACCACCATTACACTCAAGTATTTGTCCAAATACTTATGCCCCCGTTAGAACAGCACTGCACTGGAATACAATTTCCCGTGACTTTCGATAGATTGCTTCGTACGATTGTGCCTGATGAGTCACGTTCATATATTCGTGGTTTCTACTGTATGTATAACATTGCACTTAAAATAAAAACTAATGATGTTACTTGCAAAGCGGTTATGCGCATGCGCATAACCGCTTTGCAGCGTTAAAAAACTGGTTAGAATGAAAAGGAAGGTTCCGATGGGCGTGGCCACTTCTTTACCCATATAATCCTAATAATACATACATATGTACCATATTATATCTGGAGATTCCCCTTTTTACAAAACAGCATAATAAATTATATTATAATCTCATTTAAAACTTTCCTTGAATAAAAATTGGCACAATTTAACTAATTAAATAAAACCCAAATTAAACCGCATTAAAAAATGTTAAAAGATTACACCACAGTCGATAAATTACACCCAAATTGTGTAATTACACTGCAATTGGCAACACTGTACAACACAGCACAGCAATACCTATATCATAATAATGAGTAGGTTTTCCAAATTTTTAACTGATTCATAAGCACGCACGTGTTATTTTTTTGGAACTGCGCGTGACGGTGGTCACTCATCGGCATCGGCATCCTTTGATTCTGACCGCAGGTCTGCAGCCGTCGATAGTCCGGCGTCTTAATTAACAAATATATATAAATATATCACGTCCATTAATCAAATATCAGAAATTTAATATCTGGCAATTTGCAGCCTTATAATTTATAAGTTATAAACAATATACTTACAATCTCGAAAAAAGAAACAAAGCTGGCAGGCTGACATGCTTAGAATGTGTAAAATAATTATGATATTTATACATAATTCAACTAAAAAAGTTTTTAATTGACCACGTGCTGCGGCCTGCTGCCTACATAGCCCTCCGTCACACCGGCCCACTTAGCCCTCCGGACCATCGGCCCACCGGGATTTCTCCCGGTGTCCCGGCGGCCCAGCATGCCCCTGTCGTCAATGTTGGAGTAGATTTATTGCTTCATCAGATAAATCTATTTCTTTAGCTAAATTATTTAAATTTTGAGGAATAAAAGACAATATTTTTACACAACCTAATATCTTAAATTTTTAAGTTTTAAAAAACAGTTATTTAAACAAAATCTTTATTTAATTTATAAAATATTATTAAAATTTAATGTGGTATAAAATAAAAATTTAATTATTTTACTTTATATAATAATTATTATAATAATATAATATATATTAAAGAGAGACGGAAGATAAAGATGAGCGTGAACACGGCGTTCTCTATAGTATAGAGAACACCGTGGCGTGAACATACCTTTTTGTGTTAGTACCATGATTCGCAAGAGTGTTTTACAGTTTAACATGTGGAATGAGATACATGAAGCGCCGGACTACAGTACACAACAAGCATTACCTATAAAGCGTTTATTAACATGGTCAGCTTTTGGTAAAAATGGTTTAGCATTCCCCGTCAATGAGTTTTCGAAACAAGGAGCAATTAGAGGAAGCAGAAGTTAAATTCGCAGCTAATCCTTATAAAATATTGTTTGTATTGTTTAATAAATGGCTTTCTTCCTTATGTTTTGTGTATTATTGCATGACACCACAGCGCCATGACCATGGTACCCTTCTGTTTTAAGATAGATTTGACCTTGTAATACAGTTTCACAAGGCTTGTATTAATATTAAAATTTTCATAAAAAATCCTTTAAAAAAATAATAAATATATAGTCTTTAGATGACAGATAACAGGTGTCAGGTGATAGATGACTAGGGGTGGGATTTTAGTTATTTTACCTTTTTTCAACCGATGTAACTATTTGAAAACCAATAAAGCCAAAATGTGTTTTAAAAGATTTTCTTTTATATGAACCTAACTTGTTTTCACCTTTTTTACCTTTTTTGGAGGTTTTTGCTTTAAACTACATTTTTTATACTTTTGTTACTTATTTTTTTAACTTGTTTTCACCTTTTTTACTTTTTTTGGAGGTTTTTGCTTTAAACTACCTTTTTATACTTTTGTTACATATTTTTTAATTTGTCAGTTTATTTTCACATATTTGTGACCTATTTTTACGTATTTTTACTTATTTTATTTTTTGTGTTCTTTTTAAATTTTGCGCCAATATTTTATCCAGGGCAACGGTATAGAATTTTTTCTTATGGTTACAGACTGTAACAGTACCTATCTTTACAGTTACTTCTTTGTAGTGAGCTTATGTTCTGTCATAGAACTTCTGTATAGTAAGTGTCACTCAGTGAAACACAGTTTATTGCATAGACATAGTTTATTGTGGTTCTGTGTTTGGGTATGCGGCTAAACAAAATTATAAACAAAACTTGAACTTTTACCTAAAATGCCGTTTTTTAACCTAATATGCTTTTTTCTAGTACCTTTTTAGTTACCTATTTTTCAGTTTTTAGTACCTAAATATCCCATCTTTATAGATGACAGATGATAGTTGACAGGTGAAAAGTGACAATTATAAAAAATCATCTTTTTAATTTTAATTATTAAATTTCTACCCACTTTAATTGGATCAAACGACACTTTAAAGTGCCACGTTGCCAGGTTTTTTATTCATTTTAGGTGGAGCGGTCGCGGAGCAATAACCACCCGCAAGATTGTTTTGCTAGTTTAAAATGTGGCATGAGATACATGATGCATGATGCTTCGAACAAGGCGTTATTAATTTTGCTTTAACAGTTCTGTAAAGCTTCTCTTAAAATGGCTAAGGTCAGCTATTAGTAAAAATAGGTTAAATGGTTTAGCATTCACCGTCAATGGTTTTTCGAAAACAAGATTCCATTAGTGAAAGCTGTAGTTAAATTCACAGCTTATCCTAGTAAAATATTGTTTATTTTTTTATAAATGACTTTCTTTTTTATGCTTTTATATATTATTGCATAAAAAAAGGCCCCATGGCCTCATGGCATCCTTCTGTTTTGAACTAGATACTACCATCATTTCATTTCAATTTTTAAAAAATCTTTTATAAAAATAATAAATATAGTCTATGGATTCTTATACTTACATGGGGTTGTCCGGCTGTATCCAAAATATCGAAATACATCATTTCGTTGTCAATTACTGTATGATGAGCATAAACTTTTTCAAGGGTTGGGTCATAGTCTCCAATATATCTTTTCGTTGTAAATCTTACTACCATTGCTTAAAAATATATTTATTTATAAAGAAAATGTTTATCAGTTTATTATTAATTTATAAATAATAATAATTATTATTATTATTATATTAAACATAATAACTTAAGATTGAGGTTTAGAAAGAGTTCTTAAATAAATTAAAATAAATTAAATTTTCGTAATTTTCATATTTTTTTATGCCAGGGCCCGATTTAGCACGGGGTCATTTTTAATATAAATTAGTCGCTTAACAAAACTGTTTCTCAGAACACAAAAATATGTTCTTCACTTATACTTTATTTACTTTAATTAAAAAAACGCGCTTGTAAGCCTAAAACTTCAAAAGAAATACACGAAAGGAAAAATACATATTATTTGACAGCCTCCTCGGTATATAAGTTCTAGGGTCTCCGAATTCTTAATACGGTCTCGTTTCTAAAGTTTCAAATTCTATCAATAGGTAAATGTTTATTTTATAATTTATTTATATCATATATAATTTGAGTCGTCTAGAATCAAAACCCGCCATTCGCGCGTTTCGGATAACTTTTCAGGAATCGCAAAAAACTGTGGCGTCAAATTTTTAGGATTAATTTGTGACTTTTTTACCAGAACTAATAGATATTCAATAAGTACATGTTGTAATCATAAAAAATCAACAAAAAAATGATAAGGTAAATTAGTAAGCATGCAGTGAGAAAAATTTCACATAGCGGGTTTTGATTTCAACTTTGTGTTATAGCGAATTTGGAAATAAAATTCGAACAGATATGGTTTATTGAATAAAAACATAGAACATTGCTTTAATATTAAGTTTTCAAACAGCTACATAAATTTCTTCAGCATATTCAGATGGCAATCATTCTGCTTCTTCGAGATTATTCTCATCAAAATCACTAAAAATATTAGATAGCGGGTTTTAATTCTATACTGTGCTATGACCAACAAATATATATATATATATATATATATATATATATATATATATATAAATATTTGTTCTTTATAGCATATATGCTATAAAGAACAAATATTTTTCATTGACACTCTAGAGAGTTATTAAATTAAACCCATGCTTTTTGATAATAACTAGTAGTAGCAGCACTATACGGACAGAACTGTTTTGAAAATAATTACTTACCAAAAGTCCAGTTAAATATCAAAGATTAACACAAAAGCGCTTACTGCTAAAATACCCAAGCTGTCCCCAATTTACTCGATTTTTATTTACATTGTAGTTTATCAAATATTAAATATCAAGTACCTAAGTACATTCAGGTTTGACATTGATAGCGCTTTTTGCAAAACAAAGTTTAAACCCGGTATTTTAATGTACACAGTTGTCATACTAAAAAAAATTACAAATAGGTACATTTTTTTTAAAATTTTATATAAATATTTATTTTTATATTAATTTAAATATAGTTGTATAAATAAATAATTTATTATATATAATATATACATATATATATATATATATAATATATACATATATATATATATATATATATATTAGGGTGTTTCAAAAAAATTAACAATTATTTTTTTTCCAATGGTGTTAAAAAATTAATAGTACATTAAAAAACAAAAATTTTGGCGCATATTTGAGCCCTTAATATTAATATTAAGGTTTGCCTCAATTCATTTGTTGTTTTTCTATTTTAATAACACGGGAATTTTTATTTTTTTCATTTTGAATTCTTATAACTTTGGAATGGTTTGTTTTCTCCCAATCGAGAGGAGTTATAGACAATTTCACGCTCTACAAAAAACATCTGAAGGTCAAAGTTCTTCAGATCAACCGTGAATTAAAGTGATTTTACATAAAAAATAATATAAATAAGGCATTTGATATTTTTTTGTATTTTATTTGAAAATATTTGAAATTTTTTATTAGTGTTATTTTTGATGGCTGATATCTTTGAAACGGTTGATCTGAAGAACTTTGACCTTCAGATGTTTTTTGTAGAGCGTGAATTTGTCTATAAATCCTCTCGCTTGGGTGTTGCGAAAACAAACCATTCCAAAGTTATAAGAATTCAAAATGAAAAAAATAAAAATTCCCGTGTTATTGAAACGAAAAAACAAAAAATGAATTGAGGCAAACCTTAATATTAATATTAAGGGTTCAAATAGGCGCCAACATTTTTGTTTTTTAATGTACTATTAATTTTTCAACACCATTGGAAAAAAATAATTGTTAATTTTTTTGAAACACCCTAATATACATATATCTAATATACAAGGTGTCCCTAAACTTAGTGGCATAAATTTAGGAGCAGATTAACCAAGTCAAAATAAGACGAAAATCTAAATAAATATTTTTCCTAACTACGTATGTTTAAAAGATACAGGGTGATAAAGTGTTACTTATCATATCAGTTTTTTCCTTCTAAGGTTTTTTTAATATACTGTGGTAGACTTGGAAAGGTGATATTTTGCGAACAGTCACTTACTACCAAAACACATATTCACACATAATTACAATTGTTCGAGGGAACACAGTGTCGTAGAAACAGGGGTTGCTTAAGCTCATTGTCCCATACAAACTTTGAGGTTAGGTTTTTATACAATTTGATGCAATTTTTCGATTACTCAGTTCGGCTACTATTAAAAAGGTGTACTTCTCAAACTTCGATAAAATAAACCGTTTCCGAGATATTCGAAATTACAATAATTGTTATATCGCATTAAAGGACTAAAAGGTATATGATAAAAAAAATTTTAATTGAAAAAACTACAATTTTTTTTAATGTGACGGTCAGGGCAAAAAGTCCCGAGGTACATGGAATGCCCTTTTTAGTTTTTCCAATTAAAAAATAAAATTTGTTATCATATACCTTTTAATCCTTTTAAATAATGGTAGTAAGTTCGCAAAATATCACCTTTCCAAGACTTGGTAGTAGACGTTATATTAAAAAAACTGATATGATAAGTAACACTTGATCACCCTGTATCTTGGAAACAACATCTTGGAAATAATTAGGAAAAATATTTATTTGGGTTTTCGTCTTATATTGACTTGCTTAATCTGCTCCTAAATTTATGCCACTAAGTTTAGGGACACCTTGTATAGATAATATCTATTAGATATATATCTGTGGCAAATGAGCAGAGTCTCGGCCAAACCAACTACATACACAAATGATGGTCATTTTTAGAATCAGCGTACCCAAATTACCCTATTAAAGTTTTTGGCCACCCTGCCCCAAAAAGAAAATTTTATTTTGTCGGCCTGTGTGTGTGTTAATTATTATATAAGTAATGATTTCGTGCAGTGTATTTTATACACCAAATCAGCAAAATTTACTAAAAAACATTTAATGCTCCTTCCAAATAGACTAAACAAAGGTAGGGGCGTAAAGTCAAATAAAAATGTTTACGGGTAATTATCTTAAGAATCGCGACAAAATACAACAGCGCGAATAAACAATTGTTAAATGCATTGTTGACTACTATAGAAGTGTGTAGAAAGCTTTAAATTGCAAATCTATTTAATTTTAGACATCGTGAGATGTATCATATAGACGTAGTCTATTTTTAAAATAATTAAATTACATTTAAAGTTATTTTAACTATTCAATATAAAATTGATTTTAGTTCCGGTAAAAATATATTTAAAATTAAATTCTGTTTACATGGTTTAAAATTACAGTGAATATTAATATTCAATTTTAGGTGGGTACATACATTATATAATAGTATATTATCTGTTATGTTTGATAAACGCCATTTTATACACAAATTTAATTTAGGCACGAGCGAGCTTGCTTAATTAAATGAGTGTCTTGAAAAGTTTATAAACGAGTTTTATACTATACTTTTTCTCCGACAAATACTCATTTTTACCTAAAAATGATTTCAATTAAATATTTGTATAGACATCTCGTGGGTTGAATATTATATTGTTCTAATAGAATAAAACAAATTTTTTGAAAATCAAGTTTTCAAATTTCGAATATTAATATTATATTATTGAAGTTTGTAAAGATATTTTGTACTTAACGCGAGTAAGCTAGTGCATAGTGCTTAGTGTACTTAATTTTAGTATTTTGGTTAACTAAAAATGTTAATAATAATAATAATAATAATCAAACAATTGCTAATAGAACATTTTTGTTTTATTATTTTTCCAAAATTTTACAAAACGTTCCAAAATGTTCTAACAGTATAGGGTGAAAAATCGAAAAGATAATTCCAAAAAAAAACAAGGCTTAAGTAATACCAATTATTTATGATAACTCAACTCAACAACTAATTATTGTCTTTTTTTCTCATTTGCAAATACAGCAGCATTATTAAGTTGTTTAAAAAAAGTTTTTTAAAAATTATATCAACAGGCGGCATAAACTTAAATAATTTGGTTAGATCAGCTACTTTAGCAAAAGACATGAGACATTCTTTTAGTTCAGGTGCATTGCGAATATCTGGTATCAACATTGGTGAAAATACATTGCCATACTCAGGTCTAAAAACAAAACAAAAACCAATACAAAATTATAAAAAAGTAGACTAGGATTTACCTATATTACCACATTTTGCATGTGATTTTAAAGCTGCTTCATTTGAATCTAAAGCCACATAATCTGGATCTGCACAGGAATTATCAATATCTTCAAAGTATTCAATTTGATGCACAAAATGATTATTTTCGAATACGTCTGAACTTGTTGAACAGCAACTAAAAAATATAGTTTGAAAAAAAGTTCTAAAAGCATGTTTTAAAGCAAACAAATTCGTAGAAATAAGCTAATAATGTTCTGTTAGTAGCTACGTTTGAGTTTAGGGCACAAATCACTTATAAATTATAAGTTTTATTTGGGTATTTTATAACTATTTTATTATAATATTGTATTTTTGTACTTACGGAATCATTTATTTTTAAATAAAATAATCACTTAAATCACCAAAAACATACGACGTAATTCCTTAAACTGCCAATTTAATTGATTGGTTTGTTAGAACATTATAATAGTTAATTATATTTGAATTTCACACATAGAACAAAATAATAATGTCGTTTTTAGTATTTCTGGGCTATATTTAACAGTGATACTTATTTAGATATATAGATATTCGTTAAACCTTCATTTTCATGTAAAAATTTAATTTTCCGCCAAAATTGCTGATAGAACAATATAATATTCAACCAAAATGGAACCAAATTGAGAATCTGTAATAATGTCAAATTTCAAATTTTTATGTGTAAATCGAAATGTATTCCTTGAAAATGAACCGTTCAATCCGATAAAGCAGTATTTACAGTGAAAGTAAAAAAAAATGTTTTATTGGTACTTTATGATGGAGTCTTCAGCCGAAATTAAGTTATAGTTTAGTACCGGCTAAATTAAATAGTCAGTACTATGTTCATATAAACTCTTCAAATATTGGCGTTGAGAAATTATTTAATACTTTTCTATTTTTGTGTTAATATAATAAAATAATTTTTACATTCAGTATTATTTTACAAGAAGGGAACTTTATTTTAACGATTGTATGACATTTGAGAACTGTCAACTAACTTAAAACTAACTTCAGCCTGTGACTAAAAACCTGTTGCTAACTTCAGCCCGTGACTACATAGCCAAAAAGCCACAACTTGTCAATGTGTATTTAAAAGGTCACTTAGTGTCATGCTCAGTATCATGTAAACATGTACGATATAGGCCTTTTGAAGGTGGGAGTAGAAAAATAATATTTGTTTATGACGGGGACATGTAAAACCTTATTTATAAATGTACCTAATAATAATTATATTCTGATGTAATGAAATTGGAAACGGTAGCCTTAATTAAAAGTAGGTATAGTTTAACATAAAATTTATTTATTTAGTTAAAATTTAAGTATTTCGTTTAAATAGGAATTTATTTAAATCTCTTAAGATTAAATTCCACATTTATAATTAAATTGGCAACACTTATTCCTAATTAAATTTTAATTAAATTACATTTAACTAACTCTTCCTATGACTCATATTTATAAATCAAAATTGTTTTATTTGTAGTGTTAATTTTCTCAAAATTTAATGTTTAGTTTAAGTTAAAGCAACATTTACAGACATGAATATGCATTTGAAGAGTATGCATATTAATATTTCAATTATTCTAAGGGCTTCAGTTTATATTACACAAATAAGAATTTTTGATTGAAAACGTCCAAGGACATCTAAAATTAAATATTGATATATAAGTGTAAACCATTTAATTTCCTATGTTTGTTGGAAGCGTTATATTTTATGACAAAGTGACTCACGAATTTATTGTTATAGCCTGTTAAAATTGTATTTGTAGTTTATGTAGGTACGTACTAAAACTAATAATAATATTAAATAAATCGTACCTGTCTTTCCTATTCCACTTTGTCCTAGGACCATTACCTTTAATGACTTTTGCCTTGGATACAGACCCAATTTTGCCAATGAGGACTTGGGTGAAGTTGCATTCATTGTATCTTCATCTGAAAAAAAATATAGACTTTGTCGCATCATTTTTTTTTAGGTAAGGTTCAAATGACATGATGGCATTTTAGCTTTATTTTTATAGTGAAGTTAGTAATAATTTGACTTTTAAACTATTATTAATTTAAAGTCTTTCCGTTGAGTAAATAAGTCAATGGTCTTTCTATATTGACCAAGTGTTATAATATATACTTATTATACGCTTAAAAAATATAAAGAGTGGTCCAACGAGTTATTTCTTTTTTGAAATTAAATTTAAAACAAACAAGCCGATAAATTTTAACAAATATTTATTTATAATATAAAAAAACATTTATTTCTTAATTTCTTGAGACCACATTTACCACCCCAAGAAAGATCGGTCAAATACACTCACAGGCAAAATAATCGATCCACACAAATTTTCAATGAATTTTAATCGCAAATAACTTTTTTATTTGATGTCGGATTTAAACAAATATTAAAGAATATTGTAGATAAATTAATAGAGAATCGTTCACATTTTAAAAATTTACCAAAAAATAGACGTACGTTTATAACATACAAAAGTTGTTTTTTTACCTAAAGTTTATGACACTCTATACAGTGGCAAAACCGTATATTGTTTTAAATTAATTTTTAATTATCAACTCCCATCTATTCTAAACAGTTTTGTGGAAAATATAGATTTTTAAAAAATCATTGCAAATTCCAATATTTTTCTGTACAAATAAATAAGGTTGCTATGGTCCATCCATAGCATGGACATGTCATATACAGCTTTCAAAAGCTATCGAATGGTTTTGAGTAAATTAATGTGTTACTTTTGAGGTGTTCTTACTTTTAAAAAGGGATAGAGCCATTGCTTTAATCCAGGATGGACGGTCACAGTATTACGTGGCAAGTGTTTTAAACGCCACAAGAAGTAAAGTACAAAGGGCTGTAAATCGATTTAATCAGCATGGTGAGTACAGTAGAAGGAGTCAATGTGGTAGGAAGAGGTGTACGAATGAACAAGATGATCGCTTTATTCGACTTAATGTTTTACGTGACCGAAGAGTTACTTCTGAGGAGGCAAAAGAATATAGGACGTACGACAGGTCCAAGTAAGCGAGAGAACGATAAGAAGAAGGTTATCTGACTGGATTACACGCAAGAAGACCTGCAACCGCACCCGAAACCACAGGGTTGAATGCCTTAGATTTGCTAAAGAACATCAAAATGGGGGCATTGATGAGTGGAAAAATATCTTATTTACCAACGAAGCTAGGTTTTGTTTAAAATCACCACGGTCGTCTAAGAATCTATAGGAGAACAGGAGAACGTTTTGAGCAAAACCATTTTTCACCTATGGAGGAGGCTAAATTTACAAAAAACAATTTGATAGCTTTTGAAAGCCGTATATGAAATGTCCAAGTATGGGATAACAAAACTGTCACTTTCATCCTCCATAGGCTACGGGTGGCATCCTTAGTTCTTCGTACAAAAATATTGGAAAATGCAATGTTTTTTTTAAATCCATATTTTCCACAAAAATAAATATATCGAGGTGAACCAAAAACAACACTGTTAAGAATAGACGTGACTTGATAATTAAAACTTAATTTAGGACAATATACGGTTTTGCCACTCTACAGAGTGTCTTAAACTTATGGTAAAAAATTTATTGAGATTCATCGAAAATTTGTGTGGATCGATTATTTTGCCTGTGAGTTTACTTCCAAATGCAAATTCAAAAATAGAGTTGGAGGCACAAGGGATGTATGAAATTCGTTATAAGAATTGTGACGGAAGCTACATGGGACAGACCAATAGACGTATCACGCGAAGAACATCGTAACGCAGTCTTGAAACAAGAAAAAACACGTACGGAAAACTTCCCAGGAAATTGACTTTGAAAAAACAAGGGTCTTGGCGAGCATCGTCGACAGACATACGGGTCTTTTAAGAACCAAAAACCGACAACACGGAGCAGATCCCGGAAAACCATTATTATATTTAATATTAATTTTAAAGTCTTAAGCCTCATTCAGAACCTCGTAATTAGTGGAATAAATTAATGGTTTCCATTAACGTAAAAGTTTGTCATATGAATATACAGTGTTGTTCACAACCAAAAAATAAGTGGTAGTACTTTTCAATTAATGTAAAAAGTTTTCAAACTTCTAACTTTTACCACTAATTATAATTGGAAAGCGGCTTTGCGCATGTGCGCGGATATGTCAAAATCAAAAGTTTGAAGATTTGCCAGTGAAGGTAAGGTTATATAAATATTATTGTTATGGCTGTAAAAAATATTATTTTTATATTGTTTAATAAACAATGTTTATGTCAGGTTAAGAAAAATGGACAATCTTTTAGCAAATCTCCTTCATTTTAGATGTTAATTTTGCACATTGTGAATGATCGTTTTGTGTTAATTATAATTCTAATTGAAACCACTATTTTTTCCACTAATTATAACCTCCTATAGGAGGTTCTGAATGAGGCTTTACATTTTATTAAAATGTGTGTATTTTTTCCAAGGCCCGGGGAAAAAAATGAAAAAAATAGTCTCGCCACTCTGGAAGATCCTAAAATTAATATTCGGCAAGAAATGCAAGCGTTAAGGCTTATAATTATAACAAACCTTACAGGTCGGCTTCAGGAGTGCGTGGACAGAAAAGGGGCACATTCAGATAATGTTATTATAAATAAAATTTGTTTAAATAAAAATTGTATATAAAACAGGGCGGTGAAAGCTTATAATTATTAATTTCCTCGCACTTGGCTGGCAATTTGACACTGAAATGTGTGCTCGGCTATAATATGAGCTCTGCGCCTGGTTTATAAAATGTAGACTCTATAATGTACAATAATTTTTATATTATAAAACTCATCAGTCTATATAGAAATACTTCATAAATTAATAATTCATAAATTAATTATTAATAATAGCTCAAAAGTAAAAAGTCAAACAAAAAATTGAAAAAATAACCCCCCCTAAATAATTACTCTAAATTTTTTTTCTTAAATTTTAATTTAAACATATTAAATATAGGCCCGTTTGAGAAATAATTACCCAATAATTATATGACAATCGGCAACAAAGGTGTTTTAGGTTTATCTTAATTATCCCTTCTTAATCAGATCTACAAGCTTAAACGATATCGTCCTATTAAATAAAAGCATACAAATACTATAGCACAGCATAGTGTTTACTGAGCCTGGAATCATAGCAATTACTTCTGATGATGAACGTTTCCGAACGAGCCGATAGGCGAAGGAAGAAATTCATCAAGGGAGTAATTGCGATTTCACGGGTTAGAATAGGAAGGAAATAAGGGCTGTGTTAAAAATGTATTTTTTTACATTTTAAATAAAAGTAATATTTTGGTAAAAATAAATAATTTTTAGCCACCTAGCCATCAAAGCTTTTATAAAGAACATGGAAATAACCTACAACAATTCGTGTCTTTAATTTATTGCTAGTTTAGTGTTTGTAGCCATTAGTAACCTTAGTTTTAGTCATAATATATAAAGCGAACTTAAGTGTCTTATCTAAATCTAGTATATTATATTATTAATAATTTAATTTCGGATTTCGGATTTCAGTAATGAAGATAATTGTTATTATATAGATATATTTTTGCCTTAAAATAAAAGTTAAACACTACATAATTCTACTACCTTGTTAAATTAAAATATAAGTACATAATATGTAAAGATGCATATATTATAACCTATTTAAATTTAATTTAATTTTAACCTTTTTGTTCATGTGGCCCTTTCAATTAATATAAAGTAAAACATGTAAGCACATTTTTGCTAGCATAAGTGAAATAATTAATAAACACTTTATTTAAATAGTAATAAAATCCTGATTAAATAGTGAAATATTAACATGAGAACCCCAACTCAGATAAGGGTGTATCTTAAGTACTCTCCCAGGAATTTATCTAACACTTGCACGTGCAAAATGTGTATTGATCAAGTTACACGCAATGCGGTTGAATATATTTTATTTTCTTATTCGTAAAATGTTAACCAAAAATAAAAAGGTGATAATATTATGTAAAGATTTACTTTTATCTCGTAGTGGTATTACATATTTATATTCAAAACTTATTACGCAAATACAAAATTCATTTGCAACTTATTTTAATATTTTTTTAAAAATTGCAATTTAATAAATAACAGATTTAAGAATATAAAAGAACACTTTAAATAATAATTTACATTTACCCATTGTTTTTTAAACTGAATAGCGTTTAACGAAAAGAAACCAAGCGCCAAAACTTTTTCTTGGCTTGGTAAAATTATTTGTAAAATAACCCATTTTTAATGATGCTTAAAAGGTTGATCCTCATTTGGAACTTTTCTCAAAAGGATTCCCAAATCATTATTAATTTTGAGCAGCATTTAAAATGAGTTATTTTGCAAATAATTTTGTTTAGCCCAGAAAAAGTTTTTGGCGCTAGGTTCCTTTTCGTTTACCGCTATCCAACACATTTTTACATATTTTTGAGGAATATTTTTAGCAGTTTTTTTTTAATTTTTTGATATTTCTGAACATAAATGTTTTTGCGACATTGCCAAATTTACAAAAATACTCAGAATCTGCAAATTTTTAAAAATGTTCAGGATACCTTTCGTAAGTCATCTTAAATTAATATACAATTATTTAGAAATTTTTTAAAATCTTCTGGACATCTTCAGCAAATCATCTAAAATTAAACAGTTAAACTATTAATGTACTTATTATTAAAAATTTGAAATAATAAATTCATCAATAGTTTAACTGTTTCATTATAGATGTTTCTCGTTGCTAATTCCAAACTAATTTTGACATGCGCATTTTAAAATTTGTCATGCGCATTTATGGAACGCCGTTTTAGTTAATATTATTTGTTTTTTACATTTTTTAAATAAAAATCATTTTTATGATTCTTTATTTATTTTTATACAATTAATTGATTGTTTAAAAACCCTATATAGGTATATTTAGGGGGGGTTTTCCGATGGGTTAAGGCGGAAGATG